CCCCCCCCCCCACGATTTGTGGAGGACAAAACTGGAGAAACTATCGGAGACCCCTGTTTCTTCTTGACCAGTGCTTTCCTGTAACACCGTGTCAGGCAGCTGGCCTTCCGTTCTTGCACCAACTGCCATAGCAACAAGGGTGCACCAGGTTTCAAGCATTGAGTGGCAGCAAAAAGCACCTCCCTGGACAGCAGCCTGCCAGGGTGACTAGTGTTGAAACATCGGCTTCATTAAATCATTGAAATTCCTAAACTCGGTGGGGTACAAGCTTGAAACCGCTCACCCAGCGCCGTAGCCGTGCCTGCTTTGTTGCAGTTGTGCCAAGTCCCTGTGATATGTCATCTGATTGTGATCCATGTAGACGACATCAACCTTCGCAATTGATTCACATGGATGGACTGCTTTTTGCATGTTTCACAATACATTCGCGTGCATGCTTACAACGCCGTTGACACTGGCAGCATGGCTGATGAAAACACACTCACACACACATACACAACGTCAATGCACTGCCAAGGCTTTCAGCATGCAGTACAGGATGCTTTTGAGTCTAGCTGCTAGCTGGACAAGTACAAAGTCTGGGAACCTGTCATATGACATATGCATCTCATTTGCAAATGCAACTGTCCTCAAATGCTCATTCTAGCAATTTCAGAGTAGACGGGGCAAAATTCAGAGGCGGTATGTATGGATCCTGGGTTGTGACCTCTACTGATTTGGATTTTCCTCCATGCCCTCTTTGCCAAAAAGGCAGGATCGCCCAGAAAACTAACTTCACAATGATCTTGAAACACGACCGCATTATATTATATATATAATATATATATATATAGTAGCAAGGGGGGTAGAGGAACAAGAAGCTACTAGGGGCTCCTGGCATCGCTACTAGGAGCAAGGACGCCAGTAGGGGCTCCTGGCCTTACTACTACGCAGGAGCAAGAAGCTACTAGTGATGAGTAGCAAGTGATCCGGGACTGGGAATCCCATTCCGTCGCAGCACAAGGGACGGATCCAGGCTCCAGCTCCTCTTTCCTGATGCTGCACAATTGCCAATTCACATGCAGAACACTTGGGGCCTGGATTGCTGGGAGAACGCGACTGACACCTGAACAGGCGAACAGGCCTGCATGTACACATAGCAACATCTTGGGACTTGCTGCGACTTGGGGGATGTTCCACTGTCTTCTTGCCCATTGAACATGGGTCTTTGAACGATCTTTGGACAATACGGCTACTTCATGTGTCAGCCAAAGGCAGCAATGTCACAATGTCAAGTCCCACTTTACTCCCAAGTTATCAAACGGATGATATAAATCGATCTTCGTCCAGGCTGCGGCTGCTTCATCGCAACTTACCTAGTTGTCTTCCGTTGTTTCCTCTGTTGACACTGACATTGTGGATTGTCCACGACCAAACGCATGTAGACGTGAATTATGTAGACCTGAAGTCACCCCCTCCCACACACTGACCAAAAGGAAGGAATCCAAGGGTCAAATTGTCCACCAAATCCTCGCACTGACCAATCCGAACCTCAATCACATCACTGAGACCAACGAACTCAATGAAGTTCAAGGCCTTAGCCAACATGTTCACACATCAAAACAATCAGTAGGGAGGAGACTCCCTTGTTGTGAATCGTGAAAATGTGGAAAATGCCAAAACATGCTAGGGCTAGGGACTAGCAAGCAGCTACGAGTAGAGCTCCTCCAGAAGGTAGAGACCCAGAGTTAAACCATGATGGTCTTGAGGTCATACCGATACCCTCTCGTCAAAGTGAAGGCAAAAGGATGCACCAGGCATCTTCAAATGAATGTTCTAAGTCAGTTATTTTGTTTGGAACCCCACAACAAGAACCGGATGTTGTTTGTTCAATGGCCTGTAGTATGGTGTTTCTTCACGCTTGTTGTGTGAGCCACACAACGCAAAAACTCCAAGCTGCCAAACACGCCACCTCAGGATCCATTTCGAAGCTGATCACCTTGGTCAGCACACCCTGAGCAGGGCTCAGCAGGGTCAAAGGGAGATAGAGATTGTGTCTACTATATATATAGACTCAGTTGATTTCAGTCTCTAACCTAAGTTTCCTTAAACATCTAGGAACCAAATGAATAGTGCGTGAGCTATCCTGCGTCCTAGGTAGTAGCTACTTAAGCTACTATCTACCGTTTGCTTCTACTAGCTACCTACCTAGCTACTACCTTTTCCTCTTAGTGGCCTACCCCCCGGGCTTAAGAAAAGGCTCGTCTATTTCAACTATGTCAAAAGAGCACCGTCACGCTCCAAAGTGCTGAAAGGTGGCCAGAAAACCATTGCAAAGAACCTAAACAATCCTAAACGGCAAACAGTCCTAGTAGCTGCAAACAACCATGTCAAGAAACAGTGCCTTGGTCTGTAGTTGTGTATTCATTCATGTCAACTGAATGTATGCTCACAAAGTGACTCTGGACCCATCTCCAAGCTGTTGCTGCATTTTGACAGCAGAATAGCCAAGGAAGGTGCCAAATTCCACTGCCAGGCAATCTTCCTGCTGCCATACTGAACATTTTGGTTGATGTCGATCTCATGTATTCAAGGCGGAGACAAGGGCAATGCTTTGAAAAAAATGCATTTGCAAGATAGGAGGTTGTTGAACCAGCGCTAATCTGCACTGGTCTTTGCAGGACTTGGGCAGCAGTGTCCTTTGCGCCGCCAACAATATTCCAATCCGTTGGTATTTGCAGGGTTTGTCTGGCAGCTTTTTTCACTCGCCGAGAACAGCTTCTTAGGGCCTGTACTTGCAAGGCTGGTTAGACATTTCTGCTTACACATTATGGGTCTGTTCGAATGCGGAAACTGGTAAAGGAGGGAGGGAGGGTGCAAGACCTGTGGGCATGCTTTAATGCACTGATTTTCAGCTTGGATCTGTTGGTCTAGTCTACAAACATACAGAAGTAGTGGGTCTTACGCAAGGATCAGGCCACGGGTGACACACAGACATGCTTCACTCCAAGTTGTTTCAGGACATCACCAATCCGCGATCTACTGGCGAGTTCGCGATCTACCTAGCAAAGTTACTGCCCTGCTTTCATTGTGGCTTCCCATAGAATGACCACAGTTGATACAAACAGCAAACGTTTCCATCGGCTCGGCGAAGCCTTCTTCTGCCCGTGAGTGGCCCAGGCATCTTCCAAGACTTTCCCTTTCTCATCTGCAGCACCAAACTTCAGCCAGTTCCGCGAACCTTTCGTCCAAAGAAACAGAACATTGCAGTTTAGTCAAACGGCTCGGATGGGTTTCCTCAAATTGTTCAATGAAAATGGACACCCACATGAGTGGCAAACAAGACTGCTGCATGTCTCCAATTCAAAAAAGACACTTGTGTGGGCCCCTATCAGTTTCCAGTGTTTTTTTGAATGTAGGCAATGATGCGGTTTCAATCAAAGAAGGGTATCGGTTTAGGGTGGTTGACCCCTATCGGTTATGCAAGGTTTTGATCATTTCAGAAATACTTAAGGCAGCTCATTGCCAACATGCATGTACGCAAGTTCTGTCGCATGCTCATATTACTCATATGCGAATCCAATTGTATACCTGTCAGAAAGTAGAGTGAACAAGTCATGATACATCTATATATGCTTCGATGTATCCTGATGTATCCAGTACCGAAATAGTTTGCATAGCATACATGTTGCGGATTCCCTCTAGTCACATCGGTATATAACATGTTTCACATATTTAGAAGCCCGAGACATTCGATGAACGCGTGTCTTTTTTCAATTTAGACGGCAGGAGGCTGATGCGGGAAAAGTGCTCCAATCCCGCCAAAGCACTCTGAGCATCAAGAGGCTTCCTTAGAATCTCAACAACCTCCGTGCTGGAAATACTCCAGCAATCAAGATCAATCAAGGATGGATGCAAACACTGCCTGCCATTCATCAGTTACATAACTTGATGTATATACAGTAATGATGTCCGGTTCCGGATGATGAACAGAAAGGTTCTACCAGGCTTCTACATTGGGTTCAGCACGAAGCTAAAAGCTGCGGGGCTTCAAGGGGTACTTTCTGTAGCTCCCCTGGTCGGTCACTGAGCCGGGTAGATTCGACTGACACCGGAATGGAACTTTCAGCCTCCCAACATCTCCCCGAAGCTATTAGGTTGGAGGCCATTGCTAAGAAGCACACCGCACACCGCACACCTTGTCACTCCGAGCTTTGCGAAGTGAAGGATCGCTCTTGAGAGGGCGTGGTACAAAGCACGGACATACTTGTGAGCTTTTGGCCCTGGAGTCCTAGGCGCATGAGCCATGTTCCAAGAATCACCAAGATTCAGTGTTTAAGGCCATCACATTATCGTCATATTCCGTGGAGCAGTATCACATTGTTTCCTTGACTAGCAAGCGCATGATAATGACATGCACCTCAGAACTGACGGCTTGCTTGCCTGACTAACATGTCAGAGAGCGACATAGCACCGAAATACACAGGATCAGTCCTCATGCCCGGTAAAGGTGGTGATCCCTGCACATGACTGCCTACTCGTTTTGCTAATGCATAGCTCACCGGCGTCCAAAGATCCTCGCGGGGTACATGGAGTGAAAACCACAAACACTCGCTTTCAAGCGTCAACATGAAATGTGTAATGATTCTACAAGCAAGCCTTCCCTCTGTGAAGCTCCTTCTCAGCCATATATTCAAAAATCTCGTTGCACTTCGCAAAATCTTTCACCTTCGTATATCGCAGCGCCGCGGCATTCAGCACCGCTGCCTGCGTGCAATTCAATCATAAAACTGAAGATTTGAACATATGCATGCTGCTGTTTTCTTATTGCCTAGTTGAGCCCACCTCATCGTTCAACAGTGTTGTAGGGTGCTCTATAGGGCCTTTGAAGATTGCAACAATATATACAGTATATGGGAGTTGATCTAAATTCCTTTATCCGGGATCCGTCATTTTCGCCAAAAAAAATTTACTTTCGCCAAACTTTCGCCTTCCTGCGTTTTATCTTTCGCCGAAGTACGTTGTATTTATGTGTGCCATGTATGTTGTGTTTTGTTCACGTCAATGGCTTCTTCTTTACTGGCAAACACAAAATAGAAATTTCACTGTTTGTCAGCATGTGTCTTCTACTTAACTGTTGACACCCTGTACGTCTCTTTTGTTTCTCCTGGGTGTCAGCAAGAGTCAAAAATGCAAGAATCGCTGTAGTAGCCGGTCACCCAAACTTACTCATAATGGGCTGGGGGTCAGATGTGGCAGGGTGAACTTTCGCCAATCTTGAGCTGAACTTTCGCCAAACTTTCGCCTTTTGCGGGGTAGAGTTTTGTGGCAAAGCCACCCCCCAAAGCAGGAATAGTAGGAATAGTAGGAGTAGTAGTAGTAGTAGTAGTAGTAGTTAGTAGTAGTTAGTAGTAGTTAGTAGTAGGAAGTAGTAGTAAGTAGTAGTAAGTAGTAGTAAGTAGTAGTAATTGGTAGTAAGTAGTAGTAAGTAGTAGTAAGTAGTAGTAAGTAGTAGTAAGTAGTAGTAGTAGTAGTAGTAGTAGTAGTAGTAGTAGTAGTAGTAGTAGTAGTAAGTAGTAGTAGTAGTAAGTAGTAGTAGTAGTAAGTAGTAGTAATAAGTAGTAGTAAGTAGTAGTAGTAGTAGTAGTAGTAGTAGTAGTAGTAGTAGTAGTAGTAGTAGTAGTAGTAG